CAGAGATCGTGTGGTAATGGGTGTGAGGGACACCTTTCGTTCCAGATGTCTATTGAACAAGTAACAGAGATTGTGTGGTAATGGGTGTGAGGAACACCTTTCGTTCCAGTTGTCTATTGAACAAGTAACAGAGATCGTGTGGTAATGGGTGTGAGGAACACCTTTCGTTCCAGTTGTCTATTGAACAAGTAACAGAGATTGTGTGGTAATGGGTGTGAGGGACACCTTTCGTTCTAAATGTCTATTGATCAAGTAACAGAGATCGTGTGGTAATGGGTGTGAGGGACACCTTTCGTTCCAATGTCTATAGAGATCGTGTGGTAATGGGTGTGAGGGACACCTTTCGTTCCAATGTCTATTGAGACCGTTACCAGATATGCAACAGGAACGTAGTAATTTGGAAGAGTACTTTCACAGTGCAAGGGCAAATTTAAATGAACTTTTTCAGAAAGTTATATAAATAACACAACCCCAAGACTCAGCCATCTCCAAATTAGAAGTACTGACCTGAGGGAAACAACCTATCGACAGCGCCTGCCATATACGTGGCTATTTTTAGCCAGATAGCAGGACACGTGGCTACATTTAGCCAGACAACAGGATACGTGGCAACTTTTAGCCAGATAACAGGACACGTGGCTACATTTAGCCAGACAACAGGATACGTGGCTACTTTTATTCAAATAACAGGACACGTGACTACTTTTAGCCAGATAACAGGACACGTGGCTACTTTTAGCCAGACAATAGAACACGTGACTACTTTTAGCCAGATAACAGGACACGTGGCAACTTTTAGCCAGACAATAGAACACGTGGCTACTTTTAGCCAAATAGCAGGATTGGCTGTCACTGTTTCCACAGCTGAAAGTAGTTCAGCGGCTCATAACTTATTCCTTTCAATCGTCAGCTGGACACGCTGACCACGTGGTCAGGCCCGGCCTGAAATATAAACCAACTAAAGTATTTCTTAACTTTAACCATTCATCATGGTTCTCAGATATCGGACTTCTACGAGGTTACTGTGTTTGGGTTTTTCTCGTATAATTTTCGTGTAACTCCGACAGTTAAGTAAATACTCCTAATGTTCAGATGTGAATACTTTTAACTGTCAAAAGTGAATACTAGTAAATACTTTTAACTGTCAAAAGTGAATACTAGTAAATGCTTTTAACGGCCAGGAGTGAATACTAGTAAATGCTTTTAACGGCCAGGAGTGAATACTAGTAAATGCTTTTAACTGTCAAAAGTGAATACTAGTTAATACTTTTAACTTTCAAAAGTGAATACTAGTAAATGCTTTTAACGGCCAGGAGTGAATATTAGTAAATGCTTTTAACGGTCAGGAGTGAATACTAGTAAATACTTTTAACGGTCAGGAGTGAATACTTCTAAATACTTTTAACGGTCAGGAATGAATACTTCTAAGTACTTTTAACGGTCAGACTTTTTTTTTTTGAAGTACTCAAGTGGCTGTTCAGCTGGAAGCCGGATGTTGGAACATGAGTCTTATATTGTGGAACTTGCTGCAGGATTATCCCGGCAGCGGGAAGAAAACATCCATACTGTGGGCCTTACAAGAACCACGAAGACGTTGTTACCATGCTATTCGAACAGCGTTCAAAAGAGGAAATAAGCTATTATTCTAGACGGATAGAACATACTCTGATATATAGAGATAAAACCAGACGGAATGACATACAGATAAACCGAGAGAATACGAACGCAGATAAACGAAAATATTGAGTGTTAGGGTAAAACATTTTAGTCTTACTAGTCACCAGTTTAAGTTTTATTATCTCCAAATTATATTTCCATTGGTCCTTCGGAAAGAACTCTGTAACTGAATCAATTCGTTGAAAGTAACTCTTTAACTGATTCAGTCGGTTCTACGGAAGTAACTGAATCGGTTCGTCGGAATCCTCCCTCTAACAAATTTTGTAACGTGCGAGATATTTGCTTCTACAATATACCTTTCCCTCGTGAGGGGAAACATCGCAGTAATCCACTACTTAATCCTAAATAGAAAGTATTCTGTCTCCTCCCCTGCCTGCCCCTTGTCTCGTGTGAACTCCCCTTGGTAATTTTCCTCCTTGTCTCCTTACGAGAAGAGCTGGTGGTGGTGGGGAGACACTGGAGGAAATGAAATTAGTGTCAACGCGCGCAATTTGTGTGAAGCCAGCCAAGCGGAACACGTGACTATGTTTGGCTTGGGTGAGTGTTTAGTTAGAATTTGTAACCGTTATCCCTTCCTTGTATAAAACCTAGGTTTTATCAGAATATTAAGATTACCACTTAACCCAATCTAATAGTCAAACTATTAACTACGTTTGACAGTGACTCAGTCTAGAAGTACTGTTTTAAAAATGGTCCAGTTGTCGAAGTACTAACTATGTTGGACAGTGACTCAATCTAGAAGTACTGTTTTAAAAATGGTCCAGTTGTCGTAGTACTAACTATGTTGGACAGTGACTCAGTCTAGAAGTACTGTTTTAAAAATGGTCCAATTGTCGTAGTATATATTATGTAGGACAGTGACTCAATCTAGAAGTACTGTTTTAAAAATGGTCCAGTTGTCGTAGTACAAACTATGTTGGATAGTGACTCAATCTAGAAATACTGTTTTAAAAATGGTCCAATTGTCGTAGTACAAACTATGTTGAACAGTGACTCAATCTAGAAGTACTGTTTTAAAAATGGTCCAATTGTCGTAGTACAAACTATGTTGGACAGTGACTCAATCTAGAAGTACTGTTTTAAAAATGGTCCAATTGTCGTAGTACAAACTATGTTGGACAGTGACTCAATCTAGAAATACTGTTTTAAAAATGGTCCAGTTGTCGTAGTACTAACTATGTTTGACAGTGACTCAATCTAGAAATACTGTTTTAAAAACAGTATTTATCTGTCGTAGTACAAACTATGTTGGATAGTGATTCAATCTAGAAATACTGTTTTAAAAATGGTCCAGTTGTCGTAGTACTAACTATGTTTGACAGTGACTCAATCTAGAAATACTGTTTTAAAAACAGTATTTATCTGTCGTAGTACAAACTATGTTGGACAGTGACTTAGCGGTAATTCTGAGAGCTTGTAATGCTAAAAATTAGGTTTTGGTACCCACTGTGTAGGTTTGTGCAGACAAAAAATAGCTTCTATGTAAGACCGTATAACTTCTATTAATATAAACCATCGTTTTTTGTTTTTTGTTTTGTTTTAACAGGAGTATAAGTTTTTCGTTATTACCCTTATGTTTGGAAATAAAAACCTAGCTATATTTGTAAGGCTAAAAACAAACTTAAGACCTTTTGTAGACATGGACGACTCAATCGGTATTTTACGTACGTAGTTGTAATTTTAAAAAAACGAACTTGTGTCTAAGCTAAACAAAATTCTAAATGATCCTTCAGAACTGGACTAGTTACGTCGGGTCGGGAAATCGCCTGGATCTTACAGACAAGACTGACAATAAACCACTGTGCATTTACTTTTTTGTTGGATTTTGTCTGTCATTAAAAATGAAAAGTCGAGTCTAAACATATAGGAGATAATTTCTGGACGTTTCTCGGCCTATCCTCAATCTGTGTGAGGAGTTGCTACACCAGAAACTTTTCCGCTTTATTAGGGCCAACTTTTATGGCGTTAGATTATAAGTTTCGTCACCATATGTTTAAAGTATGAAAGGCCGCTACGGAGTACTTTGAAATTTCTAAATCGTCCCACGGTAGGCCTTCACTTTCATCTACTGCAGGACTTGAATAAAAGAGGACGGAAGTCACGTGCTCGCGAGAGTGACTTGAGTCGTGAGATAGAGGATAGATACTGAAAGCCGGATAACTACGACATTTTACAATAGGCGGGAAAAAAGGAGGATTGGAAATGTACCTTACTTGTATTCATCGACGTAACTTAACCGTCAGCCCCGAAAAGCTGCTTATTTTACCGATGTGTTACATTCATCTGCCGTACAATGGATAAGCTTATGAATGTAACCACGTGCTTCTTGCGTTATCTGCAATACCTCAGGTGACTGATTCTTATTACCAATAGGAGAAGTGTCCCCCCCCCTCTCTCTAACCCCTTTACTACCAACGACTTGTTGCAGGTTCCCGGGCTTTTCTCTCGCCTCATTTTCTAGTCTCTATTCGCTAATGCAGTTTCAGTAAACCTTTCTGCGGCACGTCGCGAGTTCCTCTGACAGACGCATTTCTTCGCTGGATTACTGTAATGTAAATATTCTTATTCGTAAGTTCTTGTGGTAAAAACAGGGGGTGCCTTTCAGCCGGTGCTGCCAAAATATTGTACTAAATTATAAATGTTCAATATAGTATTTGTTTTACAATAGTTCTGGAACTAAAGCGTTTATGTTCTGATTCAATCCTTCTTTAAACAAGGCTCAACTTTCTTTCTGTAGGTTTACTAACTTGCTGCCGAGTTAATTATCATCTTCTGTTGTTGTTCCCTTTCAATAAACTGACCAATATCCTTCTCTAGTTTAAAGTTACAATTAATATATCGTTCTCTCTGACCTCAAGTAACAATGTCTTAAGTAATACTGAGGCATCTTTCTTTCTGGTCTGAAGTGACATTGGCCACATCTTTATCTCTGACCTGAAGTGACATTGGCCACATCTTTATCTCTGATCCTGAAGTGACATTGGCCACATAAAGATGTGGCCAATGTCACTTCAGGACAGAGATAAAGATCTCTGATCTGAAGTGAGATTGGCCACATCTTTATCTCTGTCCTGAAGTGACATTGGCCACATCTTTATCTGTGACCTGAAGTGACATTGGCCACATCTTTATCTCTGTCCTGAAGTGAGATTGGCCACATCTTTATCTGTGTCCTGAAGTGACATTGGCCACATCTTTATCTCTGTCCTGAAGTGACATTGGCCACATCTTTCCCTGGTCTAAGTTAACATATCATGTGTAATATTTCTTTTGTTTCCAGTATTTTAGGAAATTACTCATTTTAATTTTCATGTTTTTTCCAGCCTAAGAGCGAACTGGACGCCTATCTGGGACGGCATGAATGGGGCCGGATGCCGGAAGCCCTGCCACAAAAGCCCCGCCGAGAAAGTGCTTCACAAGTGGACGAATTCTTCGAAGAACACACAGAGTTTGTCCCTAACAACCACCTAGGGGTCGCTGTGGTCGGCTATAGCATGTACGGGTCTACAGCCCAAGCTGTTCGGGGTATGAACGGGTATAATCCCGACGTTCGAGGATGTCAGCCTCCGCACTTCGGCCGTTCGTATCACCACCATTATCATCATCAAACAAGCGGTTGTGGGTACCCCAAAACTGATGACGAACTATTCCTCAAACCCGCGCCGGTACCAAGTCCCGAGGTGAAGTCGACTTTCTGGGAAGATATTACCGTAACTATGAAGATGGAGCCAGAAATAGAGGCCATCAAATCCGAATCTGTTCCCTTACCGTCCTGCCCGTATACTCCAGTCCAAGCTACCGACAAGCATGCAGATATGCAAGGGCTGTCGCAAGGCCAATTTCTTGCTAACACCATGCAGATGTCCAGTTCGATGTCATCGCCAGATGCACTGAGCATTACGCCACGAAACAATATACAAAATTATAGATTTCCCCTTGGACCCCCTCAGTCGCGGGTGTGTATGCCTCCTACTCCTCCAAACTCTGAACCAGGAAGTCCATCAACAGAAACGTTCTCCATGAGTCGCCAGACACCCCCACCCCCATATTCAGTATCATCACAGACAACCACGCTTCCGGCTACTCTGGTGTCCAGCCTTCACTCCAATAATAAGTTCAACCGAAGGAATAACCCGGATCTGGAGAAAAGGCGGATACATCACTGCGACTACCCTGGTAGGTGATGAACAAAGAATTATTACCTTCTTAAAGTCACGTATTGGTAAGTGGAGCAGAAATAACACTTTCTTAGAGTCACGTATTGGTAAGTGGAGCAGAAATAACACTTTCTTAGAGTCACGTATTGGTAAGTGGAGCAGAAATAACACTTTCTTAAAGTCACGTATTGGTAAGTGGAGCAGAAATAACACTTTCTTAGAGTCACGTATTGGTAAGTGGAACAGAAATAACACTTTCTTAGAGTCACGTATTGGTAAGTGGAGCAGAAATAACACTTTCTTAGAGTCACGTATTGGTATGTGAAGCAGAAATAACACTTTCTTAGAGTCACGTATTGGTAAGTGGAGCAGAAATAACACTTTCTTAGAGTCACGTATTGGTAAGTGGAGCAGAAATAACACTTTCTGAAAGTCACGTATTGGTAAGTGGAGCAGAAATAACACTTTCTGAAAGTCACGTATTGGTAAGTGGAGCAGAAATAACACTTTATTAGAGTCACAGAGAGAACGACGAACCAACAGTTTGCGATAGTTACACTTTGCTTTAGTTTCAACGGTAGTTTACGAGTTTCTCGTCATTAAATCACCTGTTTAATATATTGGTCATGACGGTTACATCAAGTATAACTTGATGTGGTTATGCTGGATGTAACCAACACTTGACGGTTACATCAGATATAACTTGATGTGGTTATGTTAGATGTAACCAACACTTAACAGTTACATCAGATAAAACTTGGTGTGGTTATACTAGAAGTAACTAACACTTTACGGTTAAATTAGATAAAGCTTGATGTGATTGTGCTAGACGTAACCAACACTTTACGGTTACATTAGGTAAAGCTTGATGTGATTGTGCTAGACGTAACCAACATTTGATGGTTACATTAGGTAAAGCTTGATGTGATTGTGCTAGACGTAACTCCACACTTGACGGTTACATTAGGTAAAGCTTGATGTGATTGTGCTAGACGTAACCAACATTTGATGGTTACATTAGGTAAAGCTTGATGTGATTGTGCTAGACGTAACCCCACACTTGACGGTTACATTAGGTAAAGCTTGATGTGATTGTGCTAGACGTAACCCCACACTTGACAGTTATATTAGGTAAAGCTTGATGCAATTGTGCTAGACGTAACCAACATTTGACGGTTACATTGGGTAAAGCTTGATGTGATTGTGCTAGACGTAACCAACACTTGACAGTTACATTAGATAAAGCTTGATGTGATTGTGCTAGACGTAACCAACATTTGACGGTTACATTAGGTAAAGCTTGATGTGATTGTGCTAGACGTAACCAACACTTGACGGTTACATTAGGTAAAGCTTGATGTGATTGTGCTAGACGTAATCAACATTCGACAGTTACATTAGATAAAGCTTGATGTGATTGTGCTAGACGTAATCAACACTTGACGGTTACATTAGGTAAAGCTTGATGTGATTTGTGCTAGACGTAACCTGCACTTTACGGTTACAACAAGTTAAACTTAATGTAGTTTTGCTAGACGTAACCAGCACTTTACGGTTACATTAGGTAAAGCTTGATGTGATTGTGCTAGACCTAACCTGCACTTTACGGTTACATTAGATGAAGCTTGATGTGATTGTGCTAGACGTAACCTGCACTTGACATTTACATTAGGTAAAGCTTGATGCAATTGTGCTAGACGTAACCAACACTTGACAGTTACATTAGATAAAGCTTGATGTGATTGTGCTAGACGTAACCTGCACTTTACGGTTACATTAGGTAAAATCTAATCCTACACGTGAATAATTATTGTCCCTTATGTGTTGTTTAAACCATTGATATCTGTGTTTGAATTGAAAGAAGTTAACTTGATATATATGTATAGTGTTGATATTTTATGTTCCAACACTGTGTAGTAAAAGACTTTTACTTACAAACATCAAATTACAACATACAGTTATAAATGTCCTTAAGTCTCTGACAAAGGCAGAGGAACAGTACAGGAAATTTTTGTTTTCTTTAGTGACTGCGGTCTCTGTTATTGCACCTAATACACCAGAGGGCAGTAAGATAGGATGTACTTCGTTCCGACGCATTACCTCAATAGCCTAGAGCTTCTCAAAGCTTATCTTTAAGTACGGTTCTATAAAGTTTTAAAGCATATTAAAAGGTAAGATCGCCGAGATTGCTGTGAAGACTCTCGGGTCGTTTTGCTCCTGCAATAAAATATATAGCTTGACAAAGACAACCGCACCGGTTCTTTTACCTTTGCATTTATTCTGCCATCTAGCGTTAAAGTTCCTAAAGACACGGAAGAAGAAAAGTGATGAGTTAAGAAGGTATTACTTCGTCAGCGCTCCCAGTTATAACGCTAAAAACCGGGTTTCGATACCCTTAGTTGGCACAGCAAAGATAGCCCATTGTGTAGTTTCGTGCTTAACAACAAACAAACAAAACAGACAAAAAAAAAGTAAACTCGTCCTCTCCAAATCTTCGTGCCTTCATTGATATATTGGATGTTTAGTATTGGTTGAGTTTCAAAACAAGTATAATTTGAACTGATAGACTAGAGGGATGGCAGCTGGTCAACAACATACATCGTCAACTCATGGGCTCTTCTTGTCTGATAGACTAGAGGGATGGCAGCTGGTCAACAACATACATCGTCAACTCATGGGCTCTTCTTGTCTGATAGAC